GAAGCAATTTTCGATAGTATTCCCTTGGACGTGGAATATTATCAATGCGGATGAGGATTGTTTCAAGAGAAATAATCTTTAATGGTATTCCCTTGGACGTGGAATATTATCAATGCAGAGGAGGATAGTTTCGGGCAAAGCAATCTTCTAATTGGAAGCAGTTACGGGCATAGCACTTTTCAAGCGGGATGGCATTCTCTAGCTTGCAGGAGGTCGTCACAACAACAGAAGCAGTAACAATCGGTTACTTTCAAAGACGTGTGCTCGACGGTGCAAGATACGCGTTTCTTAACTCTGTTATCTGTTTAACTAATGCTAGTTTTGCAGGTATCGACGTTACAAGATTGACTTTTCCAAGCTGCACCCACCCATTTTCAAAATTCCACACTGTACCCCTAAGGTCTCTTTAGTGTCTACGATGTAACCTTACCCTAATCCATCCGTTAACTTCAAATTAAAGAAAATTAAAAAAAAAAACAAAAAAAAAAAAACCCAAACACCTCTATCTCCTCCATCACAACCACCCACCACTACGCTACACCTCCAACCGCACCACCGCCGCACCCCCCAGCCGCACCACCGAGCTGCGCTCCTCTTTCCTCGACCCACCACCTATGAGGCTGAGTCGGTGAGTAATGAACTCGTCGTTAAGAACGAAGGAATTCACTTCGATTTCGACGAGATTGACGCCGACGGTGGGAAATTCGGCGATCATAACGCGGCGAAGTGCATTGGCGATGCTGGAATTGGTTTTCTTAAGCTCGAATTTCATGAAATCATCTCGATTTTTGGATTTTTGGGACGAATTTCGCCCAAAACGATCGAAAACCCTCGCCCAAATTCAATCGATTATACCATGAGATTAGGAATTCTGAGTTTTGTTTTGTATTAGATGGATTATTTGATTTAAAATTCTCGACTTTGATTTGGAATTTGGATTTTTGTAGGATGAGGCGTGGCTGGGGGGAGGGCTGGCCAAAATGGCTGAAAGAGAGGGGAAGGAGTGGCCGGAAAAGGGCGGTCAGGGCGAAGGGGGAGGGAGTGGCCGGAAATGGGGACTGCGGTTGGAGGTGTAGGGGAGGGTGGTTGTGAGGGAGGAGAGAGAGGTGGGGTAATGGTGCGGTTGGAGGTGTAGTGGTGGGTGGTTGTGATGGAGGAGAGAGAGGTGTTTGGTTTTTTTTGTCTTTTTTTTTTTAATTTCTTTATTTTGAAGTTAACGGAAAGTTAACTTAAGTTAATGGAGGGATTAGGGTAGGGTTACATCGTAGTCACTAAAGAGAACTTAGGGGTACAGTGTGGAATTTTGAAAATGGGTGGACACAGCTTGGAAAAGTCAATACCTCAGGAGCACTGTATAGAAAAACCCTATATTATTTTATCTTCCAGTACGGGAAATTTATCAGATTTTCGAAAACGCGTTGAAATCCAAATTGGCGTCCAACCCCAGGCCTTGGCGCCTGGAATCAGGATTGGCGCCAGACGCCACCCTTTGGCGCCTGGCGCTAGCCACTGGTCCTGGCGCCAATGAGCCAGGGCTGGCGCCAAGTTAGTTTTGTGGTCTTCAGACTCTGTTTTGATAAATAATCTTTTTTGGTTGATTTTCTCTATAAATATCGTATCAAAAACTCCGGTTTCATTCATCAACAATCACTTTATGAATTACCAATAATCAAAATTATTCATCAACTCTCTCTTCATCTACATCATTCATTCATCAATTTTCAATAACATTAATCTTTTAGCATTCTGTTCTAAACTTTACTATTTTCATACAAAATTCCGCATTCACAAGATCTTGAAACACCTAGCCATATTCGAAGTTGCCCTAGACGTGAAAGGTTTTAATTTCTGAGGGTTTGGTCCCAAATCTTTCTTTCAATTATTTAATTTAATTGTTTGTTTATTATTTTTCCTTGAAGTTACTAACGCGTGTATTTTGTAATTAGAAAGAGGTACGAGGCATCCAAGTAAGTACTTTGATGGTTTAATTGATTTTATGATGTAGATATCATGCTTAGATTGTTCTTTTGATGATTCCTAGTATCATGTCTAGGGTATCTTTAATATTAAGTATGATTAAAAGTATGATGCTTCCTATCCTCTTCCTAATATTTATGATTATTAATGATGATGATTATTATTATGTTGCTTGATATGCATATTATTATTGTTATTGTTTGATCACCTTTCATTGCATGTTAAAGGGAATTGGTATTTGCAATCACGCTTAATAAGATAATTTAATAATCTTGTTAGGTTAATTGTGATTATAATTCAAGTGATCGCCAATAATAGTTTATTTGTGCATTAATATTCAACCAACATAGATTAAACAGGTTTAGGGTTAATCTATTGATTGTATGTTAGTCAGAAAGCGCACATGAATACGAGCAGAATAAAGTAGAGGCCTATTATTAGGGCAGGTTCGATCTCTTTTAGGTTGGATTTGTACCATCATCCCCGAACCCTTATTTGGTTCATGACCTTATGGAGTTGGCGATCTCTTAGATTGTTAAGGGGTGAAACCTTCACCTCGTGAACGGTTTACAAGTTCCTTAAAAACTTGTTGGCGACTCTTTTGCTTTATCTTCTTCCCTTTTGGATGCCACCGTACTTTAGTGTATGATCACAGTGGGGTTCAAGCTAGTAGGATTTTAAAGGCTTGAAATTATTCCCTACATAAAGACTTAATTTTTTTTGTAAAAACGAAAAACCCATCGAAAAGTGCAATTACGGTCGGTTTTTGGCTTAAAACCGAGCCCAAAAAGGGTTAAAACCATTTCTAGAAAGCATTTTCCACCCAAAATTCACTATTTTGGTCGAAATCTGGGTTTGGGAGCTGAAATCAGTTCTAATACAAGGTTAAAATGGATAAAACAAGCTACTAATCTAATTAGAAACTTAAAACCAGAAAAATTAAGCCATAAAAACACCTTGAAAAAATATTATGATTTTAAAATAAACAACCTAGCTCTGATACCACTATTGGGGTTTGGTGAGTCCGACTCGCCGCGGAAACAAACCCAAATACAAGACCGCACCCACAATAAATAAAACCATAAACATAATTAAGTTAATGACAAGATTAAGATAATAAGATTACCTTTGGAGCGTGCTTCGCCCGACCACTAGGGCTCTTACGTGAAAGCTAGCCTCGAAATTACGAAGGCCTCCAACGATGATCCACCCGCAACACGATCACCGACTAGGTCCAATGTCTTGGGGTTAGCAAGACCCGACCGATAAACCCGAGTAATTGAGTTCAAAGGATTTCACAAATGTGATACCCTTTTCAACTCTTGAGTTCAAAGGTTTTCACTACTAGTAATTCCTTTTTCAACTCTTACTCAAGCATCATTTCCAATACCCCTAATTGGGTATTTATAGGAAATGATGAGCGTATGATTGTCTCTCCCATCAATGTGGGATAATGAGATTTTTCACATTTTATTTTAAAGCTAAAATAAAATTATTTAAGCAAGCTAGTAATAAATCAACAAATGTTAACTATACATGAGAGAGCAAGTGAGGACCACTTGGAGAGGGGGGGACCAAACTTGCTCCCTACTCTCTCCCTCACCTTGCGCCACATGTCAACTCCCACTTGGGCACCAAGGCACCCAAGTGGGCTTCTCATTTGTTGCTCCCCTTAGTCTCGGCCCAACCATCCTCGCACCCACGTATTGCGGGCTGCTGCTGTTCTCGACCAGCAAGCCGCGCACTCCAAGTGCAAGCTGCTGCGAAGGCTTGGTGTCGAGGTTTGCCTTGTGCGTGCACTTGGCTGCTAGCATTGGTGCGCTAGCACGCACTAGCCAGCCAAGGCTCGGCTTGGTGCGCATGCTAGCCACCATGCTACGCATTGTGCCCCTAGCACTCGGATTGCTCGGGGCACTCCGATGCACTGGGTATTTTTGGAAATATGTTGATTTATTAATATTTTCACGTCTCGTCTTTTATTATATTCGACTCGACTTTTGAAGCTCGGTTTCGACGCTCTAATCTCGAATTTCCGACGTCTAAATAAATATTACTCGGTCAACTCATTAATTCCTTCCAAATTAATTCGTCGTTTCGGCTCGTTGGTTGCTTGGGTGTGACCCGAAGGGTTCAATCGAGATTAAGCTGTAATATTAATTATGCATTAATATTACTGATCGGAAGCGGCCTCCAACCAGGCATTCCGATCACTTAACCTTACTGAATATATTAGCTTTCTAATAATTCTGAACCCATTATCAGAATAATACACTTGTTCGAAGGACACTATTCCTTTCAAGTACCACCTAACAAATTTCAATAACTCGTGCTTATGGCCGACATGCATCGTCTTTGTAATCTGTGTTAAACTTAGGGGGGGAGCTCTTTATGTGTTGTACTCTTTCCTTCGTCCAGGTTTTTATCCCACATGGTTTTTTTTTTGGCAAGGTTTAATGAGGCAAATAAACATATAGGTACAATAGCATTAATATTTGTTTTCACATAAATGTAAATTTTAGATAGTAGTCATCCTACAGAAATTCGTTCAAGGAGAAGTGTTGTAATACGCATCGTATTCATAATATGAATGGATTAAAAATGCCGTCAAACGTCACCGCTTAGCTTCCCATACAAGAGTAACTATTGCCGCTCATAACCTCATCCTCAATTAGACATTTTACTACATGCTTAATATATCGAGCAAACACTGTTCATGCAACAATACTATAAATCCCCGCATAATCTGAAGGAAATGTACACCGTAATTATCGGAGTATTTAAAAGCTTTCTTTTGATCTTTTTGAAATCCTTTGTAAAACAACTTATTGTAAATATTAACTAGTAGGATTATTTACGAAATTTTGATGATAGTCGATGAATGGGTTTTATGAATATTTATCCTACTATTTTAGTTCACTTAACAGCAATTTTCAGTTCATTTTTTTTTTTTTAATTTTCCGGATTTTTTTGCATAATATAGGTAACTCAAAGCTTGCTCAACCTAAATTCGACCTCTTGCTATCTGCAGCATACACAAAACATCACTTTGATGCAGCATACAAAAAACATCACTTTGAAGATGGACGAACATTAGCAGGTAGAGCCTCAACCCATCATGGCTTGGTAGGTTCAAACTGTAAACTGACATTTGACAAATTGACTGAATGCACTCATTTAAGTACTATATGAACACCTGCCTTGAATTTCTATTTACATAAAATAGAGGATGCAATGACATGTTGGCTGTCCACTTAATCAAGACATTATCAATAAACTTCTTCATATGCGAAAAGATCTTCAGAAAGTCGTAAAACTCTTGCATTTATCTGAAAAGACAACACCACAATCCATATCCAGTCTCAAGCATCATGGATACATTGCACACAGTAAGAGATCTTTTCTACTCATTCCTGAATTAAACAAAAAATATGAACATGAGAAAGTTTTACAATGGATTCTAATCAAATCATTACTGAACTATGTCAAATAACTCAAATTATAACCTTAGAATTCCTTCCAATCAAATCATTACTGTACTATGTCAAATAAGAACCTTAGAATTTCCAATTCATGCACTCTAAACCCATGGATATTTGCCAAAATAACCTCACTCGTGTACAATCATCCACAGAAATTTAGCATCAAGTGAAAGATGCACCACCTACAGATTTTACCATACCCTAATATATGGTAGTTGAGCACTGCCATTCTCACAAGAGCCATAACATTACAACATTGTAATAATGTCACTCAACAGATGCTAACGTTCATTTTAATCTATATCTACACAACCCTAACAAATGAATAGTATGGAAAACAAAATCTGAAAATAAGTTAGATGGACATCAAGTGTGTTTCCAATCTTTCCATGTAATATGCCACACTATACATCCTCCATGCAATAAAACCAAAATGCAGCTTCATTCTTGAACTCGTCCTCATGTGCGAAAAATTGAGAGTCCCGGCTCTCTACCTTCATTACTTCATATGGGCAATGGCGAAGCAAGGCGAAAGAGGGAGTAGCAATTGTAGATGAGAGTTCGATACATTTTCAAGAATACCACATTTCTTGAATTCAAGTTTCAAGAAACACCTTATAAAATTAAATGTTCCTTTTCTATTGAAGAATCATATTTAATTCATATTTTTGAGGCAGTTCAGTTTTTATGAAATTCAAGTTCATAGTTTTTGAATCATAATTTATTTAACTTTAAAATAATGGTTCATTTTCTTTTGCTCTGGAAGTCAATTTCTAAGTGTTTTTTTTTTTTTTTTTTTTTTTTTTTTTTTTGAACTTAAAATCTTTGTTGTGCTAAAAGGCTCATATTTCCTGAAGCTTAGTTGAATTAATTATAAAGGGTTAAGCTTTGTTATGGATAATGTATGTACTCCCTGCATCCAACCCCTCCATGTGTGTGTGGATAGAAAAAAAAAATGAGAACATGAGAAGAAAACTATATTGAACAAGTGCAACTTAATCATGTTTGTTATAAAATTAACTTGACGAAATTAAGTTCGATTTTTGAATACCATGGAGTTATCTTCTCAAGGGAAGCCTGGACCTTCCACTGCTAACATAGCAACATGTACTTCAATAATTGTAAAGAATAAAATGAACCCTAATAGTTTTTGGTATTTAGAAAGTATAACTAATTTTGCTCATTTGACAAAAAATTTCAATAAATTTGTAAGTGGCAGTAAATACCATGGATCAGCATAGACCAAGGTCACAATTTTTCTCAACAAGCACCCTTGCCAAGCAAAAGGCATAAGATTCAGCTGAAAAGTCTGTAAATAACTTCACAATAGTTATATTCTACATGTCATGAAACAAAAAACAGCAATGACCACAGCGCCTAGTGTTATTGCACAGTAGGTAAGAAATTGATCTTCTTTTCAGGATCAAAAAGAGCACAAAAGCATGCCAACTAAGATGAATCATAACATACATAACATGGGTGCAAGAGAAAAGATGATCCTTACTTGTACAATGTTGAAGATAAATCCTTAATCTTCCTAATATCAGCACCAATCACTTCTGCAGCCTTCTTTCCATTCTTAAAAAAGTGGAGTGTTGGCTAAAGATGGGAAAGCAAGAAACCAAGGTGAAAATTATGAAAACGCAAGGAAATAGACAATTTTTGCTATAAAATAATCAAGGCAATTTCCCAGTTCAAAATGTCAACAATATTCATGAATCTGTCACAATAAATTGAAAAACAACTAATACTCTAATAGAGCAGCCAGAGTATGGCAAGTATAGAATTTTACCAACATACCTCATACCCTAAACTTTAATTGATGATTAAGATAAAAGTTAAATGGAGGCGTTCATGTGACAAAGGTAAAATATAAAATTAAAAAAAAAAAAATGGCAGCACTGCTAGGGTTGTTCAGACCGGTAAAATAGACAGACCCTTTTCAAAACCAGTCAGTCTCTGGGTCGTAAAATTTTTAATTACAGGTTTCAGTCACATCAGGGCTAAACCCAGAAGAATCCGGACGGGACTGATAACCCAGTTTTTATTTATTTTATGTTTTTTAAAGATATATTTTATGTTTTTAAAGATATATATGTTTTTTTCAAAAAGAAATTTTTATGTTTTGATTTTACCTAAATATTAGGTTACGTGACGTGCCATGCACCATATATTTTAATATTGTTAATTTAGCAAAGTGCTTTCCCTAAATGATGTAAAAAGAGTTGCAAAACCATTATTACAGTTATTTTTTAATAAATTCTCAATCTACTACACATCATCATTTATTTTTTTTCCGGTGATTTTGGAAAAAGCGCTACTTTATATTAAAAAATCTGACTTTCTCAGCTTTCTCTCACTTCTTTTCCTCGGTATTGTCGTTCAAACCAGATTCCCTTTCTCCATTGTTGAATCACACTCAAGCTTTAGATTTCAATCAAATTCCTCTCATTCATTCTTCAAATTTTGTTATTCGTTGCCCATCATCCTCAAAGAGTCAAAGCTATGGTGGGTGGATTTGAAATTCCCCTTTCTCCATTGTTAATTCACACTCAAACTTTAGATTTCAATCAAATTCTTCTCATTCATTCTTCAAATTTCATTATTCATTGCCAATCATCCTCAAAGAGTCAAAACTATGGTGGATGGATGAATTAAGTTTGGGAATCTAATTTTTTTTTTATTCAGATTATTTGGGATCATAGATCGCGTCATCATCGAGCTTCTGCCATCACCACCATTTCCGATACCTTTTTGTCATAAGTTTGTACATATTTTTTATTTTTTAGAAAGTAAGTAATTCACATCTTAGTAAATTAAGATTTATTAGCCAAAACATTTCATCGCACTAGTTTTAGTTTCTATGTTTTGTATTTGATTAACTTTATGTAATTCTCATGTATTATTACAACTTTAATTATTTTTGTAAATTTTAGAGGGCATTAATGTAATTTTAAAAACACTGAAATTATGTGTATGTATTTTTGTAAATTATCAGTTCATTTGTAATTTTTAGCTTGTGTCATGCACGGAATAATTTTTTTGTCTAAATTTATGTATTTAAATTTAATTTTTTAAATAAAAAGTTTTGTAAACATAAACTGCATATTTTTAGTACATAAATATGTAATACGACTCAAGCAATCAAATAGCAATTGATTAGGGGATTTTGCTCCCACCAATCGGAATGCGCCACGTGGGCCAATCAGGTCCTGCCAAGTGTCCCTCAGTTGGAACTGTCAGGGCTTGCCACGTGACACCCGCTTATTCGTCCACCTTGGACCTATTATGTCATGACACGTGGCATACTCCATGCCTAATGGAGAAACCGGCCACCCAGGCCCAACTTCCGAGGGAAGCCCAATCAGCCCAAGGTTAACCTAAACCTAGGATTGGCACGCTTCTCAAAGACTATAAATACTTAATTAATCCTCATTAAAGGGGATTAAGCAATTAAACACTCTCACCTAGAGAGACCCAATCACTTTAATTTCCGCATTAATTACTCCTTAATCAAGTACTAACTTGACCGTCGGAGGCGGATCTCCAACCATCCGGAGCATCCGTTTGTTTTGCAGGTACAGGCGTCCGGTTCCAGTCTCGGAATTGTAACTCTCCCGCAGGACATCAGAAAACCCCGAAACATTTGGCGCCGTCTGTGGGGAGAGTACTTCTGAGATGGCATCCACGTCTGTACCGACTCCTGAAGAGAGGCGTCCCCTAGACGACCCTCAAGTTCAGCCGGACCACGATACTGAGAATGAATTTGAAGTTGAAGCTCACACGGCTTCAGACGGGACCCTAAGGGCCCGACGTACCCGTCATACCGAAAGGAGGGAACGGGAACATCTTCATACAGGAAGCGAGCCAGCAGGCGCACCGCCTGTTCGGCAGCAGCCGACTGATGGGTCTGCTCCCATCACAAGGAACGAACTCATGACCTTCATGAGGGACTTCAAGGGAGAAATTCAAGAGTTGATCAACAAGAAGCCGCCTGCTCTGGACAAGGAGCAGTCGGCTAAGAAACCCTCCACTTCACAGAAGAGGAAGCCAGTTCAAGGGCGAGAGGCGACTCCTCATCCTAAATCTAGGAAGCGGGAGCCGACTGCCTTTGATTTCACAAAATACCGTTTTCCTACTCCAGGAAATAGGAAACCTGTTCGTCATATTCAGGCGGACGGGTCGAGGAAAACATACACAGACGCTCGGCTACTGCTAGAGCAGAAGAAGAGTGACCGATAGTCAGAGTCGGCCTCTACTTCAAACTTCCAAGACAGTCTGCGAAATACCTCGATGAGGCATACTCAGTCGTATCATGAGAGTCAGTCAGGCGGCACCTCCCGTCAGTCCGGCTATCATAGCGACCAAGCGGTACCAAACTTACCATTTGTACCGCAACAACAGTATTTCTTACAGCCACCTCCGTTTGGTGGACATGCAGCAAAAAATTCCAACCTATGGACTGGCAGCTACGGTTGCTTAGACTTGGCGAACAGCCGTCGGCCTTCTCCAAGGAAATTACTGAAGCCGCTCAGCCGGCCAAAGTGAAAAATGTATTAGTAGGCGCCTATGACGGCACTACTAACCCAGAAGACCATCTGATGGCATTCACCAACCTGATGTACCTTCAAGGGTTGGATGATCCCACTTGGTGCAAGTGTTTCCCAGCGACTCTCAAAGGAATCGCACAACAATGGTTCGGCAACCTGTCAACTGGTTATGTAAATAGCTTCAGGACGCTTGCTTACTTATTCACCTCCAACTTCGCCATGAACATCCCTGCGAAGAAGACGACCCTTGACTTAGGAACAATTCAGCAGGGCGAGAAGGAGGGGCTTCGTTCTTACATCAGGCGGTTTAACCTGATGAGAATACAGATTCAAGGGTTACCGGATGAAGTAGCCTATACTGACTTTTTCAGAGGTCTCAAAGACGGGTCGACCTTCAAATTTGATTTGGTCCGCAAGAGGGTGGCGACTCTTCAAGAGGCCTTGATTGAAGCGGAAGCCTATATACAGGCGACTGATCTTTGTAGTACGGTAAAACAGTCAGACAGGAGAAGGTCCGACAAAAGAGAAGGACGATAGAAACAGTCGTCAAACAAAGACGAGAAGAGAAAAGAGGTCTGGGCGGCTGATTCCTCTAAACAGCCGGCCCAGAAAAAGAAAAAAGAATTCAAACCATACTCCCCAAAGTATGCGTTTAACAAGGATAGCCAATTTATCCTAAAGGAAATCAAGGGACGAATCTCAATTGAGAAGCCGGTCCCCATGAAGGGTTCTGCAAACTATCGGAACCAAGAAAAATTCTGTGATTATCATGAAGATGTTGGTCATCACACCAATGATTGCATCAGTCTCATGCGGTATCTGGACCGCTTGGCTGAGCAAGGTGATCTTGACACTTATGTCAAGAAATCTACGGGGAACACTTCCTCGAAAAAGCAGTCGGCCAAAAAGAATCAACAGGCCGACAGCTCCGATACAGATGATGCAGTCGTTTTCACCATTGCAGGCGGCTTCTCAGGAGGCGGCCCCACTATTAGGGGCAACAAAGACAATATCAGGCGGTTAGATGTAAATTCCGTTCACCAAGAACGGCCCTCCAAATATTCATTTCCTGAGATTGTCATCACTGAAGAAGATTTAGGAGGGGTAAGAGGGCCGCATGACGACCCTATCGTTATTGAATGTAAAGTGGCCAACCAGAGAGTTGGCCGAATCCTCATAGATACCGGAAGCTCCTCAGATCTCATCAGTAGCAAATGTCTGTCGAAACTAAAATATCAGACTGATTGCATACATCCGGCATCCCACCCTTTAGTAGGGTTAGGAGGAGGAGTCGTCCACCCAGTGGGACGAGTGGATTTACCCATCCGCCTGGGCGAAAAAGGGGAAGGACGACACATGGTAGTCCGGTTCTTGGTAGTAAAAGAACTCTCGGCCTACAACATGATTCTGGGACGACCAACCCTGAATAATTCCAAGGCTGTTATAATCCCATCTCTTATGTTGCTCAAGTTTGAGAGGGATAATGGAACAGTCGGGTCCCTAAGAGGAGATTAGAGGATGGCCCGAGAGTGCTTTCTCTCGGATGTGAAGCCCACTGTTATGGCCACTGGGTCGAGTGGTGGAAAAATAGACCTTGACAATGTCAAGGAGAGTGCGCCTGTTCAAGAAGCAGGCGGCAAGAAGAGAAAGGCGGCCCAGACGGGGGCCGCAAGAAAAGACAGAAAATAGCAATCATTGGCAGAGGAGCGGTCGGATGAATTCCGCCCTCAGCCGGCTGGTGAGCATACGGACTTGATCTTAGACGACTCACGTCCTGAGCGAACAGTCAAAGTTGGGACGACTGCTCTGAGAGACCTTGGTGACGACTTTCACAAACTATTGAAAGAATAGAAGGACATCTTTGCATTCGAAGTCCATGAAATGCCAGGCATTAGTCCTGATCTGGCGGTACATAAACTGGCCGTGGATCCGAAAAAGAAGCCGGTACGGCAGAAGAAGCGGAACCATGGCGAAGAAAGAAGTCAGGCGGCAGCCGCCGAAGTTAAAAAATTACTTGATGTAGGGTTCATTCGGCAATGTTACTTCCCA